GCGGTGCGGGAGCGGGGGGGCCCTCGAGAAGCTGCAGGGCTAGACGCAGACACGTCCCCCTCACACCGTGTACCCCCAGACCCTGGCCCGGGGAGTGGGGTGGAAGAGAGATGTGAAGGCTGGCAGAGACGGGACCGCGCCACTGCACCCATTAAGACCTCGACGCACATGCAGACATGCTGGGGCGCTTGTATGGGCACACCACACGGCTCGACCTCAATCCTGGCTCCTTACGGGGGTACAGAAAATAGCGATGACGCTGTCCCCGGGAGACCTCAGAAGAACTGGGCTTGAGGCTGATCACTGCCCGACAGTCTTCTCATTTCCCGACATCCTGACCCTGTTCCTAGCGTTCCCAACAGGCATGGGAGGTGCAGGCAGGTCAGCTGTGCTAAAGCCGCTCCGCTGCTAAGAACCAACCGAATGGAGGTGATGTCCCCTCTCAGCCACCCTACAGGACAGGGTAGAACCGCCCCGTGGTTTTCCCAGACTGTCACTCTTGACAGAAGTAGAAAGCCCTGCCTTTCTAGGCGTGGCTGGAGGAACCTAACTGCTCTTCCTGAGGTGAGTACCCACAGGTAACTTATCCAAGCCAAAATCCCTATCATCAAGTAGATTCCAACTCAGAAACAGAGCAGGGTAAAACGCCCGTTGAGTTTCCAAGCCTCTAACTTCACGGAAGTAGAAATTATTAGTCTCCAGAGCCGCTCGCTCGCTGGTGGCTTCAAACTGCTGACCTTGCTGATCTAGGCCCAATTCGGAACCACTACAACACCAGGGCTCCTTGCTGCTAAGCTAGTCAGTGCCAATAATTCTCACGTTTCTTTCTTTTATGCATCCATTCTTTATATATATATATATACATATATATGTAATCGTTTTATTGGGGGCTCTTACAACGCTTGTCACAATCCATACATCAATTGCACCCAACATATTCGTACACATATTCCATCGTTCTTTTCTAGACATTTACTTTCCATGGAGCCCTCGGGATCAGCTCCTCCTTTTTCCCTCCCTCCTCATCCCCCAATTCTCACATTCTTTTTTTTCCTTCTTTTTTTTGTATTTTCTTTCTTTTTTATTTATTTGTTTATTTTAACGTTTTATTAGGGGCTCATACAACTGTT